GAAAGAGTGGTATCTCTTGCCAGATATGAGTCACTGACCCGTGCATAAATGAACGTTATGAATCCTACAGGCGGAATATTCATCCCCTTCGTACCTCCCACCTCTCTTTTGGCTCGTTCGATCGGAATCGAAGCATCGACACTGCGGTCCCATATATATATATATATATATATATATATATATGTATGTATGTATGTATTATATATATATATACATAGAGAAAATCAAGGATGAGCGAGAAGATGAAGGGGCGGAGTTGGCTGCGTGGCTGAAATGGCCTCATCGTGAGTGAGTGAGAGAAATAAAGAAAGAAAGAGAGTGAGAGAGAGTGAGAGAAAGAGAGAGAGAGAGAGAGAGAGAGAGAAAGAGAGAGAGAGAGAGAGAGAGAGAAAGAGAGAGAGAGGAACGTTTTCTATCTCGGCATAAGATCGAGAGGAAATCTTTGGATCGTGAAGAGCGAGGAAGATTTTCCAACGCTTCATAGGGAAAAAGAAGCTGGAAGACACGAATAGAGGGAAACGGGGAGACGGCAGACACCCTTCTTTCCACCGACGTCGATGAAAATCGCGCGCGATTTACTCCACCGCCATCGCTGCCACGCTTCTACGGAATAATGGATAACGTCTTCGATCCTTCTTGTAACCCCCGTAGCTTGCGTTAGTTTATCCATCCCTTCGAGCTAACCCCTTTGCTTTTTTTTTCTCTCCTTTACCTTATTAACTTTTGGCTTAATAAAAATCAAGAGTTTCTTTTTCTTATCCCCAAACAATAGATTTTTATTTCGAACGTAGATTAATAAGAATAAGAAGGAAGAGGAAAGGTTAAAGCGAAGAAAAGAAAAGAAAACGGATTATTAAAATGAAAGGGTAAAACAAACAAAAAAAAAAAAAAGGGATGAAAAAAATATATCCGAATGGGCTTATCATCTTACGGTTTATAATTTTACTTCCATTAAAGATAAATGTACAAATGTAAAGGACAAAATGTTCGCAATCTGAATACTTATCTATGTCTATCGTTAAAAATAAAAATTTCTCTTCTCTTTATCCATTGCGATCAAGGGAAAAGATAGGGAAGTTTGGATGATATTAAAAGTGACACTAAAGTCCCGCTTTGGGGATTCCTAAGGGATACAGAGTATACCGGCCAATAAAGACAAAGCATAAAACCGGAGATATGTAAGACGAAACGTAACTCTTTCTCTTTCTTTCTCTTTCTCTCTCTCTCTCTCTCTCTCTCTCTTTCTCTCTCTCTCTCTCTCTCTCTTTCTCTCTCACTCTGTAAATTTGAAAAGAACGATCCTTTACAACAAAGACTGGAAGGAAGGATTCTACGTTCCCTTCTTTGAGGAATCGCTTTAGAAGATTTACAGAGATATGAGTGAAGCGTAAAATGAGTGGCGGTGGGTGGTGCAACGTAGGAGTGCTAGTAAAAAGAAATCAGGACGTCGGTCTGTCCCCCCTTTGCTCGGACAAGACGATAAAAATATTTGAAGTTTTGACTTAAGAGGAGAAATAAGGATATTTCCTGCGATAAGAATCCCTTGTGAGGAAGCAAGAGAAAGCAAGAGAGAGAAAAAAGAGAAAAAAAGAGAGAGAGAATTAAAGAGAGAAAAAACTTTTTGAGTAAAACTTTCTTCACTCGGACAACGTTAAATGAATGAAGATTACAACGGACGAGTAATTTTAATACTATACGAGCATAAAGATACCTTTGATATGATACTCCTCAGACTTCGAAAGATTCGTTTGAAAATATTAAAAGAGAAAACGAAAAACGAAAGAGAGAAAAAGAGAAAGAGAGAGAGAGAGAGAGAGAGAGAGAGAGAGACGGAGAAATGAAAAAATCCGAATGACTATTTTAAGCGAAAAACCAAGAAGTTGAATTCTCGTGACAATAGAATCTATCGTTCTTCGACGATAGCAGGCCGAACCAATAGATTTTCTTTCCCGTTCTCAATCGACGACAGATGATTTATGCGGCTTTAAGAAAAACGAAAAATTTCTGTTCGATTTTTTTTTTATATTCTTACATCTTATGCAAATAAAATCGATGATTATCGATCATAAAGAATCCTAACGATCTCTGATATTGCTTCGTCAATGTATTCGCGTCTCTTGATTCGATAGTAATTACAAATCGAAAAAAAGCATTAAATTATGCGTGGAACGATGATTTGCGTGTTAATCAAGATAAAACAATGTTAAATATTTCTATAAGGAATCTTTTGACGTTTAGACAAGCGATATTCTCTCTCTCTTTCTCTCTCTGTTTCTCTTGAAGCACACTTTCGTCTTTCCTTCTCCCTAATTCTCCATAAAGTTCTCCATCCGATTCGACGTTCTGATAAAGCTGGATTATACAAGGAAATTATGCAGTCTCACCGATAAGATCCATCCCGCGAAATTTCAACGATCGTACAAGTACAGGACCTAACCTTTCTATCTCTCCATCTTCTTCCTGCCTTCGTTCTTCCTTTACGTACCCTACTCTCTTTCTCTCTCTCTCTCTCTCTTGTACGTTCATCTATCTAGCTGACTTTCTTGCCGAATGGCAACACGAATCTTTATGCAAATCACCGAATCTCCGCATAATACCAGTCATAAGCCTCTCCACGCTTGTCTTGCCTCTTCACGGAAGATGTTGTCTACACTTTGTGCTCACTTTGCGATATTGCGTGTAACTTACATACATACGTACATACATATATATATATATATATATATATATATATATATGTATGTATACGTACATACAAGCACTCGTTGCTTTAGAGCAACGAGTTAGCTACCTCCCTTCAAGTCACACGACTACTATAATATTTAGATCGTAACGAGCCGTAAAGCCCAAGCACGCTTGACGACTTTTATAAGGGCGAATAATAAAATAACTTTTTCCTTCAGCCTCCTTCCCTTCCTCTTTCCCTTTTTCCCTCCCTCTCTCTCTCTCTCTCTCCATTCACCTCGCCCAAAGGCAAAAGATCGATATTTTCTTTTTTCTTCCTTTCTTCTTCTTTTTCGTTTTATTTTGTCTTTTTTCCTTTTAAGAAAATTATCAATAAAAAAAAAGAAGTCAATCAAGATAAATATAATAAGCACGAAACACGGTTAACGTTGTGAACGTTATCTTCGTTATAACAGTTAAAAGTGGTATGTACAAATACAACGTTCCTCTCCATGTTCATATATAAAACGCATCGGTTTCGCTATCGAAAAGCTACCCATTTTCTGCGCGCCTTCGGGCATTTACCTTAATGAACGTCGTGCACCTTTATCGTTTGCCATTTGTCAGATCGTACTTTCAACCGAGAATTCACCGTGCCGTTCTATCCATTCTAACCCAACCATCCTGCTCCCTTAGCAATTTATTTTCATTTTCCTTCCGCAAACTCTTCTACACCTAAACCTAGACAGACACACATACATACATACATACATACATACATACATACAGACGCATGTAGACGCGCGATGCCCACTTTTCGTGCTGAACGATTTCTCGAACGAAAGAAAGAAAGAAAGATAAAACAAAAAAAAAGCAAAAAAAAAATGGGAAAAGAAAAAAATCGTAATCCCGCGACCGCGATCCTCTTTGAATGATCGATCGCATTAGGATTAGCTGGCAACTACGTAAAATCCTTTCGATCCTCGTTTTCTCATCCTATCTCTCTCTCTCTCTCTCTCTCTCTTTCTCTCTCTCTCTGTCTCTGTCTCTGTCTCTGTCTCTCTCTCTCTCTCACTTACTCATTCATTCATTCATTCTATTCTGTATTTTGTATTCTTTTTCTCAATGTCCGTCAAATTCCGAAATTACGCTTTCTGGCTGACATAATCCGAGAAATAGTTAGCTTTGACTTATATATATATATATATATATATAGATACAGGTATGTACATCACGGATGAGTATTTCTATTTGCCGAAACGAGACTGTTATATCAGATTAACCGAAGAATTATTGATCATATAGCTTAAGAAAAATCATATGACTTAGATGACAAATTGTACGATTATTTAAAGATCATTCAGAATAATTCGTAAGGAGAATATATCTTTCGAATTATCGTTAGATTTTTCTATGACAGATTTTTTGAAGAGACAAATAAATAAATATGTTTTTCTCTCTCTTTTTCTATTCCTTTTTATTTTATTTATAATATCATATAAGGTAATACCATTTTAATATGATTTAAGATAATTAATAATGTTTATATTTTTCAAAGGTAATAAAAACTTTCGAAATAATTACGTGTCATAATAATAAATTAATTCTTAAATACAATTAATTCTCATTTAAAGATTAATCATTTTTCAGAAGAAGGACGACAAATTTTACCGAGGATGTACCCTCGACTGTTACGCGTCGCCGTTTAGCTTCGAACTGGTACATTCCGAATTAACATTCGTAAACAACGACCGGTTTCAAGGTACATATATATATATATATATATATATATATATATATATATATATATATATATATATATACATAGATAGATCCATCGTGCAGCTAGTTAATTACATACGCGCGTGTATTCCTCGAGCTAGCGAGCGAGCGAGCGAGTGAGCTAGCAAAATCGAGAAGACATTTTGTTACTCACCTCGTCTAGCTTTCGTCGTATCGGGTTATCGAGATTCTGTTAATTGGATTCAAGTAATTTAATTACGTAAGGAAGGTACCACGGAATACCCACAAATTCCAATTCTCTAGCTTACTTATGAAAGAGAAGAAGAGAAAGAAAAAAAAAAAAAAAAAAGAAAAAAAAAGAAAAAGAAAAAAAAAAGAAAAAAAGAAATAAAGGAAAGAAAAAAGAATTGATCTTCTCTTCGAAACCATATCTCCTTTTTTCCCTTTTGAAAAAAGTAAAGAGCAAAAGAAACGTAAAAGAAAAGAAAAAAAAAAAAAAAAGAAAAATAAATACAAACATTTGTCATTTTTTTTACAGCGTGAAGAAAGAGAGACATACAAATCTATTGAAAGATATAACGTCAAAAACTCACCCTAGGTGTTTTTCGTTTGCTGACGCTTTCGACGCATGGGAAGTTGGCACA